AACAGAAGGTGGATGGTGTGACCAGAAACACATCTATTAATATGTAAGAGTTATTTTGCTGATGAGAATGTCTAAAAACAGGAGACTGTTGTGGCTCTTTATTTCTGTGGTAAAATGGATTCTGTTTTCTATGGAGTTTAGGTGTTGTAGGAAGTAACTGACTCACATAATGACAATTATAGAATCTAAAACACTGCATTTTAATTTTTATTAAAATTGGGAAGAACAAAGAACAACTCAGAACCTTTTAGTTTATATGTGTTTATATATGTACAGGTATTTGGTACAAAGTTTCAGTCTTAAACAGAATAAAGTTAAAACTGTATTTATAAAAAAAATTCTCAATGCATATATTATGTACTTCTTTTAATAACAGGACTTACATAGCTTACAGAACTATCCAAAAAGATTCCTGGTTCTTGACATTAAAAATATAAAATCAACTAAAAACAACCACAACTACACTATCATCAATGTAAATATTGCTGCAAAAATCTATTTTCCAACTATAAAAACAATCATTTGTCCAGTATATACACACACACACCATACGGATAAATACAGAATAACAATCTATAATCATAATAAACAAACAAAATTTACAATATACTAGAAAGATACTCAACTGTACATACTGAAAGCAAAAAAGAAGATTTTCTACTTTTCTACGTTCAAGTTCACAGTAAGTGTCATGGAAAGAAAATGTCCTTACAGAAACTTACTGAATAGTTTTTAATTTTTCACACAATGTATGATAAACATTATTACATGTGGCAATCAAAAGATCAGTTCTGTAACTGAATATCAACTGGTATGTTCATTTGGGAACCATATAACATATAAACAATCATTCAAATTGTAGTTACCAAGTGATTCTACTGAAAATACATTTAACAAAGTTTTACATTTAACTCTTAGAATATTTAACAGAGTATTTGTTTGTTTGTAATTAGGCACAAAGCTACACAATGGGCTATCTGTGCTCTGCCCACCACGGGTATCGAAACCCGGATTCTAGCGTTGTAAGTCCGCAGACATACCGCTGTGCCACTGGGGGGCTTAACAGAGTAATCAAACAAGATCTTAGAATGCATCAATGTACCTTATCTTGCACATTTAGTTAGGTCTTACAAAAAAAAAGATTAGTTTTGACAACTTTCTTACCTTCATATATCTGATCTCTTAAGTTGGTAAGTCGTGCTCTGTACCCACTTACATTAGACAGTCTTTCCAGAATTTCTGATATCCTGGTTCTAATCTGAGAAAGTTACAAGCATTACTATGAAAAAAGGCATAATATGATTACTTTTGGGTATAACTAACAATAAATAACCAAAAATTAAAACAACTGTTGTGATAGTATGAAGGAATAAAGAATAATGTACGTTACAACCAATGTAGAACCATTATAACTGCTGTTTCATGAAGTAAGAATGGAAAATTTTTTTCTTAGAGAAGTTAATACATAAATGCACATAACATATATTGTATACTGCAGAAAAAATATCGTCTTTATACAAATCATTCAGCCACATGTCCAAGTCAAAACATCCATTCTTCCACAAGATGCAAGTATAAATGTGAATTCATGCTATACCATTTAAAAACATCTCCCATAGACTTCTGTACCTTTCAGGTTGTTCAAATGGGTCTTTGGAAGATGTCGGCAAATAATTGACAGATTTTGAAAGTATGTAAAAAAAGGATGGGAGCAATGTTGACCTCCTGCAATGGAAACTGCACTGTAGAGTAATAGCCCAATATCAAAGCTATTGCATGGAAAATTATCGGTAATGAAAGAAGGGGCTGTAATGCATAGGCAATCATCCTTGTATTGTTACAGTATATTATGAACACTTCTCTGTGCTGCCTGTAAACACATGATAAACAAAAACTGTAGAAACAAAATGATATAAACTATTAACTGGCTTTATTAGTATGTTTTCATACTATTGAGCTAAACTTTTTCTGTCTATTTGTTTTATAGTCTTATGAAACTTTGAACACTTTTCTCCTGGTACTAGACCTACTATATTCCTCATTACCTTTGATATAAGATCATCTATTAAAATTTTGTAATTTCTCTAATTCTTCCTTTTTTTTGCAAACCAAATAAATGATTAAAAATATGTGAAACATCAGAGATTTAAAAGGTACTTAAAAGTGTTAAAAACATGTAAATTATCAGTCTTCTTACTAGCCAAAGTGTGTTCACTTGCCCACCTTTTATTCACCACAACAGCTATGTTACTATTCATGTCATGCTCAAAATGTTTTCCCTATTTTCTTTTCTGATATTAAAATTTCATCTCATATTTCAAAAATATAGCAGTTACAAACTATATTTAACAATACTGGTACAGTGCTAAGAATATTTTTGTTTATTTACATATACATACACACAAATAAAGAAAAATCTTTTTTAAAAAAAGTAAATGTAGGGATGGCTAATATCAATCCTTCTGAAACAAGATAGTAGGGATGGCATTTGCATCATCCCTACATAATAGCACAGGCACACAGTGTAGTAAAATGTTAACAGACAAAAATAGATAAATTAAACTCAACTGTGATTGAATAGTTATATATATTGCTATATCTTAATTTCTGCCTGTGCTTATATGTAGGGATGATGCAAATGCCATCCCTACTATCTTGTTTGCATTGTTTCTGAAGGATTGATATTAGCCGTTCCTACATTTAGTTCCATTTTTGAAAAGTTTTTTTCTTTACTTGTTAGCTTGTTCTTTTTAATGCAATGTTTCAATAGACACAATAAGGTTGCATTTATAACCAAGTTCTAATTACAATGAGGTTCTAACTATAATATTTACTCTATCTATTATTGGCTGGTAATTCCTGTTTCACAGTGTATTTAAGCTTTTGGGAGGAACACCTAATGTTTGTAAGAAAGCTAACTTCTAAGGGTAATGATAACATTGTTTACACTAGAATTATGTTTTTTTTTAAATTACTACTAGTTCATAATACTTAGAGTGAATTTGGTTAACACCATTGTTTTGGTTTTTGAGTTATAATGTAATAAAAAAGAAGCAGAAGAACAAGAAATTCAAACTATTTACTTTGATATTTACAGACATTCCCAGAACTTGTGAATCAGTCATTACATAGATATTGTTATAAATGGAAACACAGTAAAGTATTGTAAAGTTCTGATGACCGACTGAGGAGATATTTAAAATAACATTTCGATGAACAATCCAGGCCATCCCTACATAGGCAGTGCTACTGCCTACTTGATATGTTGCAAAATGACTTTTTAATGAATATTTTTTCTTTTTAATAGTTTTATTCTAAAAAGAAAAGTTTTAAATAATTGGGTACAGTAATGATACTTTTCAACAGATATGCAATAAAAACTGAAAAATAACAATGTAACAAATAAGTACAATTACTATTTTTTACACATTATTTCAAAGTTATGTAAATAATATGCATGCAATTGTCTGCCTGGAACTTTTCTCACAAATTTCTTGATCAAACACTACAAATCTCATATCGTTAGAAAGGCTTTTGTCCGAGGAATCTGGATTGCATCTTGGGTTTTCAATTCAGAATTACCTTAGTTGCTTTTTTCTTAGTCAAACTTTTCAATGCAACAGGTATGCTACACATAAGGCACAATATCATTACCATCACATAATGACTGGCTTCGATTTAAAAATTAGTTTTGTTTATTTGCAAAGTATTTCACACAAACAACACTTAACCCACGTGTAATTTCCTTTAAAAAAAATAACATTACGTGACAACTTGGCTTCAATTTTGACATTAATTTTATTTATTTTCAAAGTATTTCACTTAACCCACGTGTAATTTCCTTAAAAATTAACATTACACCAAATACAATTTTCATGGGCTTTCTCGACTTTCAAAACCATATGCTTCTCACTTTGTGAACACACATTCAGATGTTTCTGCATATTCAGCTAGTTTTGCCTTCATTACAACTTCACATTTATTTTACTTCGCAATAATTTAGCTTTGGTTTCTTTCATAGACTGTTATAAAGACCTTTTAGCTAGCTACTATTTTCTTTACTATTGGTTTTATTTTTCATTTTTGTGAGTTTCTTTGTTTCAACTTAGAAAACTCTGTCATACTGAATGCTCATAGCTTTTCATATTCTGTACACTATTATAAATACCATTACTTTATTGTTAACTTTAGGTATAGTTTTACTAAATAAAGTTATGTACATATATTTTTATTAAATAAAGTTACATCTACATGAGTTTGTTTGTCTGACTGCATACAGTTTTTCCAAAATAGACCAGAATTTATCAAACTAATAAACAATGCCTGCAAGAAAATGTAGCTTAAATGGCATGCATAAAAATGACAGAATAAGTAACATTCAAGGGAAGGGCATGAAAACTACCGCAAATAATTTACGGGTTGCAGCTGGTACTAAATTAAAAATGTACTGTGGGAAAGAATAAATTATTTATTATCAAAGTGTATTTTATATAATTGCAACAGTGCTTGATCTTAATTGTGAATAATATGAATCTCACAAGTCTCCTTTGAAAACAAACTTAGATTAATAATAATGGTTCTAGAAATAATAGCAGAAACTGTAGACATTTCTGAAGAAAAAGATAACACAAGTATTTCAAGAAAACATTAAATAAATAATTTCAGAAAGTAAGCTGCCCAGATGGTAAAAATGTAAACCACTAAACTTTTGTGTTTGAATAAGACCACTAAACATAATTTGTTATTACAAAGAACATGTACTTGGGTTCATCACAATATTTTGGTAAAAAAAAGGAGTAACTTTACAGTACATTTATGCTATCTTATTTACTAAGCTAGAATACCAAGTGCAATGTCATTGAAAATATAGTTATTAGTACAACAAAAATATGAAATTTAGTGAGAACCTTTCATAGAAACTTCCAAGATTATGAATGCACATTTAATTTACTACATTTGCCACAATTTTAGAAATTATAATCTTATAACAGGTTCCTCACCTCTTTTTCTACCTTGTTCTTCTCTGACAGAAAACATTCTATTTTCTGCTCGAAATCTTTTCTAGTCTAAAGTAAGCAAAAAATAACTTTGTTATTGATAATAAGGTTTTACAAAACACACACACTATATCTAAAGATAATGATACTAATTCCACAAAATGCTCTTTCTATATACAGTTAACTATAATGATTTTACAAAACACACTTCACATAGTTAACAATACTGAATCTAAATATATTCTCCTTGCATTAACAAAACAGATTCTAGAAAATATTTTCTCAACAGTTAAGAATACTAATTTTACACAACATACTCTGTAACGTTAATACTGACTTCACTACTCCCCACAAGTTGCAACACTGACTTAATTTCAATAGATTTGCTGTAAATAATAAATCCACTGTGTGTTTTCTACACAATGAACTCAGAATCAATATTTTCTTCAAAGTAATACCACTAAATAGTTCCTTTCGGACAAGAACACTGATATTACAATATTCCCCATGATCAACATCATTGACTTTAGTAACACAATATTACTCTTTACTGAACAAATTATTTTGGCATCACATTATTATTTAAAGAACGTTATCTATTTTATTATAATCATTATTTTTTACTCTCTGGTGATTATTATTCTCTCTAGAGGAACAAAGTAATGACAACTTTTTAACCCACATAAAACACTGATTTCATTATAAAATATGTGATGGATTTATTATTATATATCTTATTTTAATATTGACATTTCTTTAGGTTAAATTCATATTTAGAAATGTACATAACGTACATAACTGTATTGCAAAACTCCCACCTATTCTCTAAAATTGTAGAAGATTCTCAAGTGTAAAAATCAACAATATATGTGTGTATATGTAAATGCTAGTGTTAGTGTCAGTATTGTTATGTAAAACTGAAATTGAGAAACTCTCCAATATATATAATGTTCTCGTAAATATACTAATGTCCAATGAGAATCCACTGAAGTTAAATGGTTTGTAATGTTCGAACTTTGTAAATTCTCGTCAAATATCTGAAGTTTTCCGATTGATAAGCATTATAACAATCATAGTTATAGCTTCCAAAGTTTATTGCACACTGACTACAGCAAACTAATAATAGATACTGTTTTTAGGCGTGTAAGTATTACAATTTCAAATAGCCTGAAATTGAGTTAAATGATAATTTAAATTTAGTAGTTAAATAAATGCCGATATATAAATAAATGTCAGTTTATGATATTTGCCAACAAGATTGATACACACACAGTTTTCTTTTTCAACACAAATATGTTTTAATATACAAACAACAGTACGATCTACAATGATAGTTATTACAAATAATTATTATGCACAATGATTTATATACATAAATTTTACAAACTTATATGCAATATAAAGTCTTCTTTCTAGTCTGGAACTTCCTTGATATCTTATCAAGGGTTCACAATGAGCGAGTTAATTACGGGTTGACGTAGCTATAATTCACTGAACTGGGAGCTAGCTAGCCTTGTCCTTCGTTATTTACCAGCCACACATGCCGAGTTTTCCACGATGAACAAATATTATATTTATAATGAATAATATATATTTTTCTGGAACAAAATAAAACATTTGGTGGACTTCACACTGTTCATCGTATCTGTTTTCAAAACAAAAGCTATTACCTCAAAACATAGGTGACAAAATGAAAAGAAGTATCACATGATACAGAGAAGTGAAGATTGAGATTTTTACTTATTTAAATATTTCCTTTTGAAATAAAGAAGTCAAAACTTAGTTAATATAAAAATTTCAGTTATAAACTACATTTTGATGTCAAGTTTATTAGTAATAAAGTAGATTAATGAAACTTTGAATGTAACTTTTAAAAAAGTTGAAAGTTCACTCTGACCCACTGATATCTAGAGTTAACAGATGAAGTCAATCAAGTTACACAAGGTTTACTGACTATTCATGGAATGGAGTGTTGAACTTGTTGGTGCTTCAAACATCTCGTGTATTTTATTTTTTAATATAGCAACTTTTTATTTTCTGCAGATGTTATGAGAATGTTTTCAAATTTTCTACATCACCTATAAATAATTATGCTGCATGAACTGAACACCCAAAGCACTAGAAGTGTGGATATTCAGACATTAGTGTTTCCCAGTCAGTTTAAATATAGGCTGCATTATCTGTTATAAAAGAAAATACTTTTGATGTGTTGAAATTGATCTATGAAGAAGTCTGCAGAGTGTTGAGGTGTGTCAATGCTGTTGAATAAATAGACTCCACAGTGGTTACCATAAAACTGATTGCTCATTCAGTGCAAATATTACTACAAAAACACAAGAGGTTTCCTTGATTAGGACACTGATCTTTTGCTGGACTTCAGTAAACTCAAAACAAAGATTTCCTAGCTCTGCTTTATAGCTGGGAAGTTGGTATGACTGTGCACAGTTTGTGAAAGAATTTCTGCACATAGTGTTTTCAACAACATAGAAAGGAGTGAAGCAAACAGGCAATCAAGATTTCTCCTTTGCTTAGACACATTCTACCCATAAATCCAATAATATTGACCTGATGCAGGTTTTGCTGATACTCGGTGAATCGCTTGGAGTGTGAAGTGGTAAAGAAGTTTTGTCTTCTTTAATTATGTTATCAACTTAATTGTCATCAAATTCAGTAGGCTTACTCTTCCTGTTTAAAAGTTAAAGTATGACAGAACATCTATTATTGTCTTTGACTTGATGCTTTTGTTCAATTCTCTCTTTCACAATCACAAGACAAATAACAAGAAAAGAGTTTAATAAGTACTTTATTACCCAGTTAACACATTTCACATACTCAACTGATCTATATCTACACTTAGCTTTAACCATTTTACCATCTTGATGGCAAGTAAAAAATATACAAATACTTTTGGCTTTCCATGATCAGATATGGATTTTTGTTTTTCTAGACTAGGAACAAACTGTCAGTACAAAATTTTCACCTCATTATTCAAAAGTTGATACAGGATACTAAAACAAATCACTTTTTTATGGGAATAATACTGAATTAACCTAATTTTCCAATAAAACATTTTTCTTCTTTCTTTCAATGCATATTCAGTACAATTTCTTTTTCTGGAAAATATGATAGATGCACTGAGCAGAGTTCTAAAATATTCCTAACCAATACCAAAACAATAACATACAGTTGAGCTACATAAATTTCTCAACCTATGTGGAATAATAGGACTTCTTTAGGCAATAAGTCTATTATTTGTTTTACATGAGCTAAGACAAAACAAAATGTAGGCCTACAGCAGACTTGAAATTTCTTCCAACTCTACTGCACATTATAATGCAATGATACAGCATGTCACCATCAAACATTAATGATATCCAACCTATATTGAAAAATATAAACGATGATTTGAACTTTTGATATTATAGGCAATCAAATTACTTCCTCTCAGTATATTGCTATACAAATCAGACTTCTGATGGTCCATCATGTGAACTGATATGAACATGATTAGTCACCCAGCCAATTCTGTACATAATGGTATCACAATCTTATACAGAGGGCTGAGTACATTATATTGAAATTATTTTGAATATGCATAAATGCAAGTCATGTGACAAGCATAGTGGATATATAAAGTCATGGTGGAATGGCATGTATCAGAACTACATTTTGGCATTTCACAGGTGGTGTGATGGCAACAAAATCCGATCATTTTTGGGAAGGGTAACAGCTCTTTCCAAAAAAAAATATTCATACACATACACTCTGACCATAATTATGTGTTCAGAAATAAGAATTAAAATTTCTGAGACCGGGATATCCCTTGTAGTTAATGGCACTGGGAAACAATTAGAACAGAGGTGAAATTTAATAGGCCACCAGGACCATCCAGAAAGAGACCTGTAACAAATTATAACCATGGTAAGCAAAATGTGGTGTCTCATAACAAGTGAGAATCCACAAACAAAAAGTTATCATTGACAGAAATTACAGAACATAATCAAGAAGGATCTCCAGCAGGAAAAGTGACACAAATTACTTCCATGAAATATCTGGAAAGGAAAGACTAACTGTAGAAAACTGTATGAATGGTATCTAGCTAGGGGAATACGTGATGACCCTTGATAAAGAATATGTGCATTTTGACAACTGGAAAAAGCCTCTTGGCATTTTATACCAGTCAACAGGTAGGAAAGACTTCCAAGTGGTAAATGTAATGTCACAAAACTTTTTTAGAAGGTATTCATGATCACTGCCAGAAATATGTAGCATTCTTTAACAATATACTGAATGGTGAGTTATAATTTAAAATTTTAGTGAGAATCTTTCAAACGATCAGGGTAAAACACACACACACACACATATACATACATAAAATGCCCTAAATATTTTCCCATTAAAATATTTCATAGTAAAACTTACTTCAATTTGATGCTAAAATACTTAAAACAATGTTTAATACTTAGTATCTGAAAATTTTCTGTATTAGTTTTCAGTTTTGGAGCCTCAGTTATAAGCAAAGTACCAAATAGTAAGAAAACGTGCGTGTATCATCTGAGCTTCTTCTAATAATAAAAAACACAAGCCTAGTTTTTCAACTGATGGGTAAATTCTTAAGAATATGTAACAAGAAATAGAAAAAAACTAATAAATGCATAAAATAATTAGATATTTTTAAGACTCATAACATAGGTTATAATAGAAAAAAATACATTACTACAAGTATACTTCTCATTAATGTTAAAATACAACACATCAACATGGAATAAACCAATAGTTACTTATGTTGTTGATATAAAAAGACTTACTTGTTTTGCATCTTTTTCTACAGTGATGAGTTTAAGGTTGCTTTCTTCAATTTCTTTTTTTAATGTTGTGATCTCAGATGTTAAGTTCACTATGGTGTTTTCCTGGAAGTTATTACAGCAGAAGATCATGGTTTTATTATTCCCAACAAAAATTAACTTTTTTGAACCTACAGACATTTACAAAACTCACATTATCTCAACATAAAAAGTAATCCACAATTTGAAGCCAAAACCCATACATGACACACAAAATGAAATAAATACAAGGAAAAATAAACTTATTCTTTGCTTATAAAGTATTTAATAAAACAATGTTGATTTATTCATCTCAAGTTAACCCCTCTGCACCAGCATGGTATTACTTATCTCACTCTCAATTGTTACCTTCTCACAATAGAAATAATTATTCCAAACTGCACGAAACTGAGGACAAATGTATTAAACATTATCTTGTTTCTGCATAAAAATTAATTAAATTTTTAACTCATGAATTTTCCAAAATTTTATTGCATGCAACATTTTTGAGAAAAAAAAGCACATTAAAAATACTTCCCTTCATCTTAGAATATAAATTATTTTACTGTTGATCATAAAGTTCATATTTGAGCTTGACTGATTTTCATTAACATATTACTTTCAAAACTTTGCTGATTGTAGTATCATTACTTCCACCTATATATTATAAAAAACACAGCATACAACTGACAGATTTATCAGTAACTTAAAACCTGACCTTTCAAAAATGATTTTAGGTCAGACTAAGTAACAGTATATTTGTTAATATTGTTGGTCAAAAAAATTTACACCTAACAAAATTTTTTTAAAATAAATTAATTTTTTTTTTTTATTTCTATGTGTTGCTTTAATATGATAAATTTAACAACAATATTCAATAAATAAAAACTTTAGTGACATTAAAGTAAATGGAATATATTACTGTTGTTATCAAGCTCTCTTATAAGTTTTTAAATACCCAATGTCTTTTCACAGAAGAAAATTGCCACAACTGTCAAACAAATAAATTTTAACACAAAAACATTTTCAGGAACAAAAAGAACACCTAAAGAAACAATAAAAAATATATTCCAGGATCTGTGGTTTGTGTTATGTTTTTTAAACTTCACATTAAATTCTGTTGTTCTTCTCTGCAGGAGATACATCCAATCATTTTCTCATAAAACCATAAATTACTTCTAATTCCACTTTATTCACATTACAATGACATTAACAGTCTATGAACTGCTCTATCCAGTGGAATTTAAACTTTGCTTGTAGCTATTTTCAAATGAGTTCTTCAAAAGTAGTTGTTCCCACCCTTTTACAACCACACAGCATGTGAACAGAGAAGAAAAATCATGAAACTCTTGGTTAATTGTATTATTAGTAAATAAAAAAACTACACTTCAGGATGAGCAGAAAAATTATAAATCTATAAGTGTGTTGTTTACAGGCAAGACTACTTGGAGCTGTGCAGAAATGTAAGTTCAAACTTTTTGTTTTGGGAATTATACTAATTAAATGTTACAAAATATAAGATGATTTTGTTAGCCTATGCTACAATACATTCACAGTAACACTGAATCATCATCACTTTCCTATGCTTTATAGACCATTTTCTAAAAGCATGTATACCCAAATTACAAGTGATCATTAGGCCAGCCCTTGTTTGTTCATTAAGTAATATGGTTAATTAGTTGGCAGTGGTATTCAGTCACGCATGCATGTACAATTACTAATCAATACAACAATACACCACTCAATAAGATTGCTCTGTGCACTATACATGGGCATATTGAGTTTCCTAGTATGTGAAGTTTAAAAAAATACTATACACTATATGCTGGAATTGCACTTTACATGGGTACTTATGATAGCTCTCTTTATGGTATTCCTAAATGGAATATCAGAAAGAGAGGTATATTAAAATAACAAGAGAAATGCTAAGAATGAACTGATAATATATATATATATATTAGTTTTTCTATAGCTATTATACACTTAACTCAGACTACAAACATACTCTACGGCTTCTCATTTTCCCATTTTTGTGATAATGTATTAGAACAACCTACCAAAGTAGCAAAAAAAATAAAACAACCACTTTCTTGTGTATTTCCTTCAAAATATCACCATAAACAGTGAAAGTCCATGTTATAGCTGTGGGTGCTTTGAGTGTTATACAGTTACTCTTTTACTTAAAATTTTCCTATTTTATAGTTTTTTTTATGACTACCTTTCACCATTATCTGGGTTAAACTTGAATTAATTCAATTAATAAAACAATACTGTAATATTTCATTATCATCTGTTCCATGAAATAACAAGTAGTGACAGTGTTTTTATGTACAAAATAACAACATTGTGTTTTGTTTGCTACCTAACATTAATTATATAGCCATTCCTACTGAAGATGGGATACTTGATAAAGCTAACAGCATTTACATATATTACTCACATTAGAAATAGCAACACCGGATTTTTTATAATAATTAAGCAAGCTAATTAGCAAGAAGATTTAGGATATAAGGAACAATATAGTAATATCAAAATAAGCATTTGAAAATCCTTGCAATTTTCTAATAGTTGGAACTTTTTTGTTTTTAGAATTATTTCAAACTAAAAATAGTTTTTTAACTGTTTCCACAAACAGAACTGTGTTGGTGGACAAGTCACTAAATACACTGACAAGTAAAATGTTATTAAGCAGAAAGACAATATTTGGTGATACTCTTAAACCAAGGTATACTAACCTTTTCTAACAATGTGTTCTCCACACCTTTGCATCTTTTCTCCCATTCAGCACACTTTTGCACCTCTTCTGAAAGATGACGTTCAAGTTTCAGTGCTTCTTCTTTCTTAGAATTTAGTTGTTCCTCTACCTATGAGTGTAAGAAAAGTTAAAATTTTCCTAAACTGAAAATGTATTTCCAATAATACTTAGAGATATGATGAATCTGGTGAGATGTGACATACAAAAGATTCCTCTTCTGTAATGATAATCCATTATAGTCCATGTGAATCAATCTACAAAGCCATCTTGTTAGGGTAAGGGGAGATAAATCATGGGAAACAGAAGGATTCCAAGGAATGATCAACTGATTCCTACTACCTCGCAATGAGTTAGTATGAATCACATAACACTTGAGGGTCCTAATAGGACATAACAAACAATCAAGATCAGAGCAGTAATAAAGGTGAGAAATGGCTGGCAAATGGATTGGTGAGAAGGATCTTTCCCCTTCCCTGGCTGCCAAAATCTTGGGAAGAAATGACCTATCGGGGGTAAGCAGGTCAAATCATAAAAGAGTCTGATGCACATGGATTGCAAACAACTCCAACATACGACATCCACAAGCCAACAACAACAAAAAATACAATTTAAGAGAAAGGAGAAACAAAGAACAATGCATGTAAAACAACTGTAAAATCCCAATTCGGTTATTGAAAAGGTCATTTGGGTCAAGGAATATGAAAGGATCTGAGTAGACCCAATAGTACTGAGGATTCAAAAACCTTCTGATATTTGGAATACTGAAAAACAGTGGATAAGCCATCACAGACAAAGCAAGACCCCTCTAAAATACCAGAGTCATAAAATGGGATATGGTAGATACTTTATGATGAAGAGGGTTTAAATTCCTTTTAATACTTGACTGACAATAAGAATTCCATTTCCGTTGATAAACGGCCATGGTTGGCATATGGAGAGATTTAGTTAAATACAGAGAAACCTTAGAAGTTAAGCCCTTATGTCAGGCAAAGGACTGCATAACTTCCAAGCATGAAGATTGAGTTTCCAAACATCTGTGTGGAGAATGTCTGATTGAGGTTGTCTCAACATAGACTGCCAATGTAGAAGATGTAGAGGTGGACATTCCTGCAGATACCACAGAAGTGGAAACCACATTTGATCTGGCCAATATGGTGCAACCAAGAGAATTCAACAGGAGTGGAACGAACCCTAGTCAGAACCCAGGACAATAGCTGAATCGGAGGAAAGGCATACAGATGTAAACCTGTCCAGTCCTGACTGAATGCATCTACTTGCCAATGCTTGAGGATGGGGTATTGGAGACAAAAACAACTGCAGTTGAGAATTCCAATGAGTCGCAAAGGCATCGATTGTTGGAGACCCAAACTGAGAGAAAATCCACTGAAAACCCTTGTGATGTAGCATCCATTACGTCGGACGAATCCGGTTGGATCGAGACAAGTGATCTGCAATTAAATTCATCACTCCTGGAACATGAGATGCTAAAAAGACTGATATGATGGGAATGAGCCCGGTAGAGAAGATCCAAGTTATGAAAACAAAGGTCTCGAGAATGTATGCCTCCTTAACGAGAAATCTGAGATACCACCATGGAACTGTCGGAATGCATCATGAAAATTTTTCTCTTCAAGAGAGACAGACCTTGAACCATTGCCCAGTGTACTGTAAGGAGTTTGAGAACGTTGATGTGGAGGGTAAACTCGTCTTCTGTCTAAAATACCATGGAACTCTTGATCTTGAAGATAAGCTCCCCATCCCTTAAAAGATGCGGCTGTGAACATATGGATCTTGGGATGAGATGGTGGAATGGGTAGCTCAATAGTAGTGTTGTTCCAATCCAACAACCATTCGCAATTGACGATGTTGCTCCTGAGTAATGAGACAGGATGATCCAAAAGATCGGAATGCATGATCCATTGGTCGAGCAATGACCACTGAAGGGACCTCGTGTGTGCTTGTCCCAAAGGAATGAGAGGTTCAAGGGATGCCCACGTCTCCAAAAAATAGAGAACCATCTAAACAGTAGGAGACATAAGTAAAGGCCTGACAGCTCTTTCCATGGATTGAAGCCTGATAGGGGTTGGTTGTGTACTACTTAAGTGAGTATTGAAAAACACACCCAGATGGACAAGATATTGCATCAGTGATAGAATATATTTCTCCAGTCTGATAAAGAAGCTTGCTTTTGTGGCATCTGAAAAGAGAATCTGAGAGTGTTGTTCTGCTAATTGACTGGATGATGACAGAAAGAGCCAATCCTCCATATAATGATTTGTGCACAGGCCCAAGGAATGCAGATGATGAGAAAAAGCTTAAACAACTCTGCAGAAGACAACACAAGGTGCTGATGCAAAACCAAAAGGTAAAGACCTGAACTGCAGCACCTGACCCTTGTGCACAAATCTGAGAAACCTCCGGGAAGATTCTATTGGAATATGGAGATAAGCATTGGTAACATCAAACTTGGTCATCCCTGGCACAAAGTGCCATCATAGGTTGAGAAAATATTCCATTATAAAGTGAGGAGGATCTAAAAATTGGTTGAGTTGAGACAGATTGATGATTGGACACCAATCTCCTGTTTTCTTGGGTACAATGAATAAATGAGAATAAAATCCCGGAAGAATGGGATTGACCCTCTCTTATGGCCTGGGAACAAAGCTCCACTTGGTCATCCCTGGCACAAAGTGCCATCATAGGTTGAGAAAAGATTCCATTATAAAGTGAGGAAGATCTAAAAACTGGTTGAGTTGAGAAAGATTGATGATTGGATGCCAGTCTCCTGTCTTCTTGGGTACAATGAATAAATGAGAATAAAATCCCGGAAGAATGGGATCGACCCTCTCTTATGGCCTGGGAACGAAACTCCACTCGCTGTGGATCTGTTGGAAATGAAAAGGCAACAAGTTGTGCAGATAATGGTGGAGGTGATGTAAATTGAATGACCAACCCTGAAGCCAAAAGATGGAGAACCCATGGATCCCTGGTGAAAAAATTCCAGATGTCCAAAAAGGGATGTAATCACGATCCCACTGCTCTCCTGCCCACAGGATAGTCACCGACTGTATTGTCAACAGCCCGCCTGAACTGAAGATCCTCGAGAATACAGACAGACTCTATTATGGGAACCAATAGACCTGGGAACCGAAGAAGGGGGTTGGGAAATACTAAAAGCTGACACTCCCAAATTAGCACCAGAAAGGTGAGAAGTTAATGATGATAAAGAAGAATGTAAATGAGCTGAATCAATTTGTGATTCTAACTTCTCTGGAACTCTGGCATGCATAACTCCCTGAGGACAGAAGACAGTAAATGAACCCTTTGTAATAAAATGTATCTACACAATAAATCCCAACAACAAACTTGCCAGGAAACCAGAGAAGTTAACGACGATAAAGAAGAATGTAAATGAGCTGAATCAATTTGTGATTCTAACTTCTCTGGAACTCTGGCATGCATAACTCCCTGATGACAGAAGACAGTAAATGAACACTTTGTAATAAAATGTCTCAACACAATAAATCCCAACAACAAACTTGCCAGGAAATCAGAGAAAGAACTGAGATAGATGTCATCAAAATCCCCAAATCGTTCTCAAATTGCAGAAAGGATTGTTGATTGGATTCTGACAAAAGTTGGATCGAAGATAAATACCTCTGGACAGTCATGAGAGTAAGACAACTCCAAGAAAACTGTGCTCTGTTTAAAGTGATCAAAGGTCCCAAACTAGACCCCCACAGGTCCAAAAGGGAAAACATCCATTGAGAATCTAAATATACTTCCTCCTTGCAGTGATAAGCCAAAGCATGCTGCTCTGATAAACGTGGGGGAGAAGGCATAGCTATCCTATCGCATAACTGAGTGGCAAACCTCCCAGCATGAACAGCAATATCAGGAGGAAAAATTGTCCTTGTTGTCCTTTCTGCCAACAAGGAAGGAGCAGAGTCAAATGCAATAGAAGAGACCCCCAAAACCTCACAAACCTGAGTAACCAACTTAAGAAAAGGGGCTAGAGGTGGCCGATCAAGATGATTCTCTGTTGAGGCTGACCTAGTAAAAGAAGGAGTTGGAAAAAGTGTGTATAAATTCTCCACAGCTGGTCCCGGGTCATTTGCAAAAGCTGCCTCAGAACCCCCCCCAGAGAGACACCCTCGGTCCACATACATGTCTCCATCTCACAACAGATCATATCATGGACAGCTTTGACTGAGAGTGACCTCTCCTCTGGCCATTGACAAACACCAGATAGCAGAGGTGGAAGAGAAGAGAAGAGGTCTGGTTGGCCTTTGTAGTAGAAACTTTAACTCAGGAATTCATACACTTCAGTATGTATATATTTATTTTTTTGTTTAAGTAATTTACAAATATAAACGAAGATATAACCATAGTATTGCCAACCACATTCAAATTTGGAATTTAAATTGTGAATAAGCACAACACTCCTGTTTACAGAAACCCATGCTGAATGCCTTGTCGAGAAAAAGTGATTACATTATCTGAATGAGGTGCTTAGATACAGTACCTAGATAGAGGGTGCATTGAAGTTGGTGGAGAATTTTGTAAAATAGAATTTGCCAGGGGCATTTAAGTGGGGTATAAAATACTGGAGCAAGCATTTTCAATGCTTAGATGGGCAAAAAGTGGAAACCCTGGAGATTGAGAAATAGATATAGCATCAGTGGAGGTAAGTATGTTTTGGAAAAGCAAGACTAACTTTCAACTTTCCAAGTTTCTAAGATGTTAATACATACTATAAGCTGCCAGTACTAAAAAGTAAAGGATGTGATTGGCAGAATTACATATATACATGAATCATTCTGATAGTAATCTGACTTACAGTTATATATACTAGCAAATGTACCCATATCAGGTGAAGCATTTATTTCCTTGGTTTTTATGAGGATAGTGCGTCTACGTACATCTTTCATCACAGTCAGATTTTTTTCAAGCTTCTTCAAATTACACAAATATGGGAAGTAGACATCAAGGTAATAGTAAAATGAAAAATTAAAATGGTTGTCAAATTAGTAAAAAAATAAAAAAAATGAATAAAGTAAGAGGTTTTAGACATCCTCTCAAACATACCCAAAAACCCCTGAAATTTTGAAAATCCATACAATTCTAATGAAATAGAGAAAACAACAGGAAGATAAAAATCAGGAACTTGGAAAAGTAATAGTGAATAAAATATGGAATTTAAAAGACTGCTTAATACTAAGAAAAACTATGTTTAACATTGTAATATCATAACTACATATACAGTCCCATCATTATTTCTTGGTATCTTTAAATCTATGATATTAACTTTACATCTATGTTTAATAATTAAGTACCTTTATTTAAGCAAAACTTCTACTGTGCTTATAGCAGGTAACACCAAGATTGAAACACTTTTTCAAAAACAAGAAATCCAAATTAGTATTTATCAAAGTAGCTTTAGTGCCAGATTAATATCAGAATATCATACTTTGTATATTTAAATTGTTAATTTTTTTTAGATATTCCAATTAAGATTACTTGGGGAAAGCAAAACTATTTAAAGCAAACTTTAAGAAGAAAACCAACTACTACAAGAAAAAATTTAGAAAACAAAACAATTAGTTTGAAAGGTAGAAGATTTTTTTATGTCCTTCTTTCAGAATTATCTAATTCAAGTAATACTGAGTATACCTACACATGTATAATGCACATTCTTACTTACATTTTGTTTTAAAAAAAATTACAACAGTTATGCTGCAAATGAAGGTTAAATATTTGAAAATCTTCAATTTAGCCATACAGACTTGAAATAGGTATAATAAAAATAAATTTTTATGCAAACCACTAGAAGGTACATGTGGTTTGTTTACACCCACTCACTACTTAGGTAAAAATAATCTACACTTGGTGACTATTTATGATGGTCCAGTGGTCGTTATTTAAGTTCTGACATTCACAACTTTTACATTTAACTGCCTAGGCTTTTCATATATTTCTGAAATATAATTAAAGATTAAGAGGTCCTTTTTTGTGTCTATCTATCTGTTACTATGTGCAGTGTTTAATCTATTTATTAATCGAATTTTTTCACTAAAATGCCTGCATTATAATCTAATAATTTATGACTTGAAAATTTTATTTGCAAATAAACAATAATGCTTAATTTTACTTCTTACGTACATAAAAAATAAAGCTTTGAACACCCTTATAATCTGACTTGTATCTGTTGATACAAGTCACCAAAACTTCAAAATCACTTTAAATATAAATTAACATATCATACTCTTTCATATCACAAATCAACTCATGTATAGCTTCTAAGAATAACAACATTACACATTGAACCAGGCCACATGTTCTTACATTTTCTAATTTCTTTCTTGTTGCCTCTAACTGTCTTGATTTTTCCTCTAAGCTTTTTTCGCAACTCTTCAAATGATGTTCCAAATCTGCTCGTTGTGATATTTTTGCTGCCTCACAAGCTGCCAGTAATTCTGACTGACAATGTAAAATAGATGCATATAAAAAAAACTAACAATTATTCATAATCTTAATCAAATATACAAATTCATCTTTACATGTGACTGTTAAGTAATACTATACTTTTCTTCTAATCAAAGCATTTTGAATATAAGAGAAAAAAAAAGATTCACTAATGTCACAGATAAAACCAAATATTTTAGCCCAGATCAAACACTTTAATACCTCGTATACATTTGTCATGTCAAAATAAAATGTTCTTATATTCTACAAATGGAATTTATTTTCAAAACTTTCAATGCACCCATAAAATATTCACAAACTTATTGCAACCACAAGGACCAAAAATCATAAGTGAAACAAGACTATAGGATAGGATACAGTAATTGAATAAAAAATATATACTCACACTTGTACTTCAACAAATTAAAAATTGACTAATTTTTAACACAAAAATTCTGTGTTTTTTTGCCTTTTGATTAACACTAAAAAATTATTCCAGAGAGTTATACTAGGAATTATTACCCGTGATCTTAAAATATAAATTGTTTTTTACCTTTTTCCAATAAAACTGGGATAAAATTGAAGTAAAATTTAAAGTACCAAATAATGCATCATGAAAGTACACAGAATACCATAAAAACTCCACATCTATGTCAAAAACTTTTATCATCTTTACAAAGGTTAAAAGAGATAAATGGAATGAAAGCACTTCTACATTCAAGCTACTGTACGAAATCATACAGTACATGCTGAGGAAAACAATATTACTTCGAAATATGAACAAACAACTAAGTTCCTCCTGATATGGAAATTGTTAAGACTACTACAGCAGGTTTACAAAGTTTTTCTCAGGTGTTCTTTGTACTGATAGTTGTAGAAAGAATGGAAAAGTAATAGATATTAGACATGTTTGACCTTTATTAATTATTTTCAAGACTTTTTTGTTATGAAATACAAGTTTATGTAAAGCTGATTTCACTTAAAAGAAAAAAATTCAGTGCTTTTAATTACTTTGTAATGACATGTCATATACTTGTAATTTTATTAAACTTCATTTACTACCCAAAACTGATATTATAAATAATATTTTCAGTATGTACATACAATAAATCGGATTTATGGTCAACAAAATGCAGCATAAGAAGTACCTTGGTTTTTATTTCACCCTCCATGTAGCTCACTTTTTCACGAATTGTTGCCAGATTTGAGTTTGCCTCTTGAAGCTGAGTATCAAGTTTGGTACTTTTACTCTGAACAGCCTGCAAGTTTGATCGAGTCTAAGAGAACAAAAGAGAGTAAAAGTTTTATTTATCTGTAAATGGGGTCACTATTATAGAGAAAATTTATATTATTCATAATATGTCTGTTGGCTCAGTTCTAAGGATAAGGGCTTAAACACGAAAACTCGTGCTTAATTCCTGCAGAAAGCACAACACAGATATCTTATTGTGTTTAACAACAAACATTATTCAAAGAAACTAATTCTGTGTAAAGTATTTTTTCTTACAGATTTAAGGAATTCAAGTTTAATCATACACTGAAGTATAATAAAATAAGCAAAATCACAAGATATTTTATTCATTATTTTCATTTCAAGAAAACATAAGGCACCTCATGTAACTGTTTGTGTAAGTTTTCAACTGTTGAATCATTTTCTGCTTTAGCCTCTTGGGTAGCTTTTTCCAAGGTGTGAATCCTGTCTTGAAGAGTAGTCTAAATGATTGAGAACACATTAAAAAAAAGAAAGAAAATTTAATAGTTGTTTTACTTTAGTTTTAAAAATAAACATTTTATTCTTTAGCTTAAAAACTCAGGAGAAAAATAAAGAATAACACAAAAATAAACATAATTAATCTATTCTTATAGAAATTTTACTTATTTTAAGATTCATTGAAATAGGTAACATGAATCTTAACTTTCTTCTGACATGATCTGTAATTATGATCAACTTTAAGCTCACAAAATGTTAGCCTGAATTTAAATTAGTAAAAAAAAAGCACAACCAATACAGTAACATTAAAATTTCTGCACGTAAAATTTGTAAGTTTAATTTTTACAACTTCAATTTACTGATTTTCTTTTACAATGTTGTAATAATTAACATGTATTCTTTTAATTATTTCTTTTATATTTTATTCTCTAGCATTTAGAAATTTACTGAGAGAATGCTTTGTGAATTTGTTCTGCCATTAACTGAGATTGGTAAAGTGTTCCTTTAAACTTTTTCATTTAAACTCAGTTCCTTAATTTCTACCTTCAGCTATAATACATTATATTTTTTATTTGCTCCTTATCATATACATCTGTTTCTAAGGCAGTTAATAAAAAAAAAACATTCAAATTGTTTTGTCCACTGCTCACACTTAGTACATGCTAACAACATGAATAAGGGAACTTTAAAAGAAAATAATCAAAAATAATACTGAATATTAGGCATAAAAAAAAAGGAACTAATTTAAAGTTTAAAACAAACTATTTTATTTATTTAAATATAGTTTTGAAATAACTGCAAACACTTTGCCAAAATGACAAAATATTCAACAAAGTATCACCATGTAAAAATAACATTTGTTTTACTTTACTCTTTTACTGAAAAATAAGAACTAGTAACAAGAAGTCACCTGTCTACTTACATTTTCTAGTCTGAGTTGCTGCAGGGCAGTATTTGTACCTTCACCTGCCTCAATCTATAAAACACAAGTAAACACACTTGTTAATAATAGACTGCTTTGATTATAGTTACAGTAGCAGCATAAGCATCCTAGGTTTACAATAAAAAAATGTGTATATTGATGATGAAATGGAAAATATGGAGCATGTGATTTTTCTTATATGAAACTTACGAACATAAATTTGTCACATCCAGAATCAACTCACTACATGTACACACTAGAGATGATCTGAACAAACTTAGTGAAATATACAACTTTAAAGTTAAGTTTCATTTTAAGAAAATAGCTTTTACACAAGAGAAGTTAGACAGTACCAAGAAACTATTAAGAGCAAACAACTATTCAGCAATTTAATATGTTTGATACAAAACAGATCATTAGATTAATGCACACAACTTTAACAAACAAGTTTGAAAACTAATGAAACAGTCAATATAATATAAGATTAACAAGATGGAATGTATATCTTTTGTGTTAATAGGTCATTATAAAAGTAAAAATGTGTGTGTGTGTGTGTGTGTGTATATATATATATATATATATATATATATATAC